CTGGAGGAGCGGTTCGGGGGTCCCCGCTCCGCTCCGCGGGCGGTGGCGCGGCCCGGAGTCCTGAGTGAGGCGGGCAGGGGCAGCGTTTGCCCAGGGCGGGGCGAGGTGAGAGTGCCCTATTTGGGAATGAGGGCGGTGGGGTCATGTCACTGGACCCCCCCAAGAAGGAAAAGGGGAGTGCTGACTTCGGTGAACCGCCAGCCCCGGTGCGTGCCCACCCAGGCACCCTTTGCCTTGCCTGGGCCCAGGCCCTCCGGAATACCCTGGCTCGCGTTCCTCCCCGAGCTCCTGGGGACTCCGCGGACCACCACACTGGGTGCCCGGGTTTGTGCCCAGGGTGCCCCAGAGCCCCAGCTGTTCCCGCCTGATGGCTGCCCACGAGTGCTGGGTCCGGCATTTGCATCTTAGGCTGCAATCTGGGGGATAAAGACACCTCATCCGCAGATAGCTCAGACGCCTCACCATTCCCAGACAACCCCTTCGGCTCCCTTGTTTCGTTCCCACCAGCTATGCTGACATCCCAGGTGAAACGCTAGCATCCCAGGAGAGCACCTCTGCCACCCACTCTGAGAACCGAGAACCACCTGCCCACCGGTGAACTACTCTAAGAGCACCTGGGGCTTCAGAGGCACTTGGGGGCTGAAACAAAACGTGTCCATAGCTTGAAGTTGGTGGCACCAGAGGGAACAAACACCAGTGCGAGTCCCTGGTTTCCAGCTCCCCCCACCCCACCCAGTGGTTTTATTCCGGGGTTTGCGGACACGTAGCAAGCGCGCATCTTCTCTGGGTGCGGAGGAAACAGTGCATTGTGGGAAACGCACAGAGCCGCTCGAGAGGAGAGACAGCCAGCAGGGAATGAATGCACCGTCACGTCAGTCGTTCGACTCCCGCTTAGGAGCAGAAAAGACGGAAGTGGTGTCGAGGGGGACGGAAATGAAAATGATAAGCATTTGGGGATAAAAATCACAAGTTTCTAACAATGCTTTCCTTCCCACCTTCCTGTCGCGAGCTATGATATGTGGTTCTGTTGGTACCGAAACATGTGAGAAGACCATGAGAATCTTTTGAATTCCCATGGCGGTAACAGCCATCACAGTCATCTGCCCTCCACAGTGGGTCCAGAGACTGGAAATGGCCTTGCAGATGATTCTGTCCACCTGCCAGATGGCACCACCGCCCAGATGCTTGCAATTTTGTCAAGGTGGAACCTAGGTGCAGGCAGCCTGTCCCAAGCCCTGTGATATCCGTGCCTGGGGCGGAAGGCCCGTCTCCTCCCTCTCACTCCACTCACACACTGTTGTAATTGAATGGGGCACGAAGTTGAAAGCAGCCTGAAGTCAGTTGCGAAAGACGGAAATTCATCTTGAGTTGAGTTGGACAAAAATGAAAATATATTCACTGGCGTAATTGACAAGTTCATAATTAAGACCCAGGTATGTCTTCATTTCTTCTGTTTCCTTCTGTATGGATTCGTTTTCCTACTGGCAGCCTCGGGCTTACATCCTTGGTTTAGATCCTAGAGGAAAAAAGATGTATCTTTTCCCCAATAACTGGGACAAAAGCATGGAGGACACATCCCTTTGGCCTGTCTGGCCCACCCCTGAATCAAGCTTCACTGTCCAGAAGGATGGAACACACTGATGGATGAGGCCCAGGGACTAAAACTGGCCCAGCGGTTCCCAAAGAAGAATAGACTTCTTTTCCCAAAAGGGCAAATGGTAGCGAGCAAGCAAGAAGGAGAGATACAGGCATAAATTATACTGAGGTCATGTCAGTTATCGGGAACCCTGGGCAGACAGGGCTTTGTATTTGGGGAGTGATTTTCTTCCCTCTCTTCAAGATCTGCCTCATAAGTAGCCATTGTCTCATGAGACTGTTTCTTCTCTCTCGTTCCTTTCTGCCAGGGGCCGGGCCTAAGCTGGGTGCCAGCCTGAAATGAGACTTTGATTGGCAGCTCGGGACCTAAGCGTTGGGAAGGGACAGACTAGACCGGAACCCTCTCGATGGCTCCCACGATGATCTTAATATGTAACCCTCTCTCTCATTTGCGTCTACCCGCAGTCGGGTCTAGCTTTTATTTTAAGGATAGTAAGATGGAAATATTGTAGTAAAACATCCAATGTGTTTTCTTGGTGCTGTACTAATTACTGCCAAGAGTGGTTTTGTCTGCAGCCCCCGCATTTTGTACCCCCACAGTAGGGCTGAGCAATAAAGGGCTGTCTGCTGTCCAGCAGAAAAAACAGATTAATAGACGTTAATAGAGCCTTCCAGAACAGAGCCATTAACCAGCGACTCGCCATAATTGAATAGCAACTGCGCTACATTCTAATTTCACTCACCAGGTGATAAGTTGATTTTACAGTTGATAATTTAACTTCTATCACATAAAAATGTCATTTGGCTGAGTCAACTTTCTTTCAAATATGAATTTCCATTGAAAAACACACTAATGATGAAAGGAAAGGAATGTTTATCACTGTGTCAGAAACGCAAGGCCGACTTAGGGCCACTTCTACCTGGACGTGGCGTCCTGGCTGACGGCCCAGGCTACCTCGCCAGACGGGGAGGGGGCTGTTCGTTTCCCACCACGTCCCAGCCACGTGGCAACACCAGCTCACCGTGCCTCAAGCCTCCCAGCTTTAAAATGCATCTAACACACGCAGGGAAGAATAAGCGACGTAATCCACGTAAAGTGGCGCCATGCCCGGCACGTAGTAGGTGCTTCCTAAACGTTAGCTTTGGTAACTGTAAAGAAACCAGTTTTATAATGCGGTACATAGTCATCTGAGCGGTGACGCCCCCTCACTCGGCTCGTGTTCCACTGAATGGAAAACACTCGCTCCCATTGTGCTACTTTGTTCATCTTAGTCAATCAGAAGACACGTGCACTCGTGTCTGGCTCGAGATGAATTTCACTCCAGCGGCCACAGCGTTTCAGCTCCTTACTCCATCTCTTCTGCATTGAGATGACTTTACACCCAGAAAAGAGCTCAATCAGTTCAAGTTAAACAGAGTGCAATAACTTGGTAGTAATTCTGAAATTGGATGCTAAAATATTACCTCTTCATTTCCTTAAGGGCTTAGAAATAAAGCGGACCACCGATTAAGATGGCTTTTGAGTCGATCCAGTGAATAGAGCAATGTATTCTAGTCCATTGCTGCTACCTTTGCTTTAGCAAGTTAATGACACAAAATGCAGAGGTGAGCATTCCAGCCGCAGTGTGCATAGGGATAAAGACAGGAACGTGGGTGTGCCCACCCACGAGTGCGCATATGATGTGATCATTTGCGTTTTCTGATTGGTTTGCTGGGTTCGGGTTCACTGCCCCCTAGGATTAGCTTATAATACAGGAGTGCCCTCTACTGAGCTTCTCGTATAATAAAGGGAGGCCTCTACAGAGGCAGATTTGCCTAGTGCCTAGTAAATGTTCACTCCGTATTTACCGAATGAATGAATGAATGAATGAATGAACGAACGAACAAACGAGTGACTCCCTAACCTGGTTCTCTGTCTAGGGCTGCGGGACTAGATTTCTTCGGGAATAAAGGAGGCCAGCTGGGCAGAGGAAGCAATGAGGCCTGACGCAGCCGGAGCCAGGTGATCCAGGATCGAGGTTTTGTCAGGTGAGAATGTTTCTGGAACGAAGTTGCCGCCCACACTCCCGGAAGTCATGAGGAGTCCCAGGCAGAGAATGTCTTTGTCACTGGAGAGACGCTTTCTTAACTCAAGGGGAAGTGCCAGCCTCAGACTGCACGAGGAAGGGACTGAACGGCACTGGTTCCAAAGGGGGGTTTTATGGATGGGGCAGTAGGTTTCAGTGGAGGCAAATAGGCACCTGTGATGCTTGTCATGGCCTTGCGCTTCATTCGAGTCGCCCACAGCCTGGACATAAAAAGGACCCACTCTTCTATTATCCGTTCAAGTTCATGGTTTTAACGAAACAAAACAGTTCAGAGCACCTTATTTTTCTATTTTGTGAAGCAACAGCGTTGAGACGATGTAGGTCCTCGTGTTCCCAACTGTCGTTACTAAGATCATTTTGTAGTTGTTGCTATTTTTGGTTTAAAAAAAAAAATAGCTAAAAGATTTTTTCCCCCATCCAAGTCTTCATTATCAATTGTCAATCTTGATTATGTGCCCGAAATAGGAATGATAATTTAGAAGTCATTATCTTTCCTATTGCTGTTATTTTTGGATAAGAGTCTTGTGTAAGATGGTTTTAAACCTCTCCATACAACTTAAATTTCATCTCTTGAGTGAACTTTTATCAAAGACGTTAAGATTCGACACTTTGGAACTCTGAACTCGGGTCTACTAAAATGACAAAACTATCAATGCTAGCGCCTTTTCAGCTGAAAGAGAAGAAGAAGGTTGGTATGCAAAAGTTCTTCCTGATTCCTTTAATAATTCAATCACTGTAATTAAATTTCTACTCTAAAAGCTCTAGCAAAGAAAGAGAGAGAGAAGAAAAAAAGATGCATAATACATACTGGTGACTGGAGCCCTGAACTGAAAAATATTTGATGGAGACAGATTACTTTCAACTCTCCTCCCTCCTCCCCAGGTGGACTGCAACGCCTATTATTTTCATTTAATTAAAACCTGGACCCAAGAGAGAGGAAAACAATTGCGCTTTTGTGCTTCCGCGGAGCCCTGTCGGTCCTCCTTACTGGGTGGAGGAGGACAGATCGTGTTTGCCAGCTCTCCCTTTGTCCACTGTGTGGTCACTGAGGATGACGCTTCCCTTTTAAGACAGCAGTTGGCTTCTCGTGGAACTGTCCCCTACGTGGATATGGTCCAAGCCTCTGAAGAGAGCTCTCGGCTGCTGCTCTCGTTCGAGATACAGCCGCTTAAGATTGTTATATTCTCTCATGAGTTATACGGCGCTTATGGAGTCAAATACCCTGCTTCATCAATCATAGAAAAATCCCTTTTACTTCCTGGCTCCCATCCCCTCCGATCTCCTCAATCTGCTTTCCTAAGGCCATGGATGACCGAAGGAAAAACTCAGAGGCCTCCTGGCTCCCTTCTTGCCTGGACTTTCAATTAACCACGTTGATCGCTCCAGCCTTTTAAAAATTTTTCCCCTAGGAAAAGTGACTGGCCGGGCTAACTGGCAGTACCTTCTCTTACCTTTGCTGCTCCATGTGCTGCCCCTACGATGCAGGCGAGCATCATGCCGACGACCATCGGGAATAGTCAGAGGTTCAGGGATACATCACTGCCCACGACCCCCAAACGCACAGCTATAAAATCATGCTCTCCTCCCTGTCTCTGATCACGGCCACTAGACTGTCTCCTTGGTCATCAGTCCACAGCATGTCGGTGGCCCCTCGTGATGGGGCGTGGACCTTCTCCTCCTCTCGGCTCTCAGTAGTCGATCCCACGTGCTTCTCACGATTTCTCACTCACTGTCACTGCCATGAGCCAGAGAGCTCGCCACAGAGGACTGATCTCTCTAGATGCGTCTCCTCCAGGATTACTGACAAGGGCATCAAACCAGCGCCAGACAGTAGACAAACGCGCTCCTCACACCCAGTCAAACAGAGCCCAGAGCATCCTATTTCAGAAATGGTTCTAGGAATTAATACGACGAGCCCTTTAAAATCACACGTATTGGTTTTTCTTCTATATAAGATGGTTGCCTTTATTTACGTCTTTGATGAATGTGGTATTTCCTTTTTTTTTGCACGCAGAAGGAGCCAGCTTTACCCAGGCACAGGACACTGTCCACTCTGCTTACTTCCCAGGGGAAGATGGTGGCTAATCTGACAGGCTCAAGCCTAGTCCATCATTGGTCACATTTCATTGTGATCAGTGAAGGGACATGCATCCAAGAGTGGCTTCAGTGTCTATGCCCTTCCAAGGACAGGTAAGCTCTGTGGGACCGGCCTTCTTACATTCATGGGTAGACAAGGGCAAGTCGACTTAGATCCTTGGCCTCGGCTGCTTTCTTCAATCTAGCTTCTGCCTCAATGTTCTAGAAATAGGTGGGACGTCGGATACTAGCGTTTGCCCAGCGGCATAAAGCGACACCGCCTGGTCTATACAAAGGAGATGACAAGTGAAGGGATTTAGGCCCCAATCCCAAGTCTCCACCTCTCACATGACCCGGAAGAACATTCCAGTAAAGTGACACCTAAAATGGAAGGTAAGGAGACGTGACCTCTACCCAACAATAGAGAAAATTCTAAGGGGAAAAGAGACCAAGATAAAATGAAGGGACACGTGGACGAAAAAATGAAGGCGCAGGAAGGTGAGTCTAGTTCCTCCTTCTTCTCTCCCTCTCCTTTTTCTTATGTTTGATATTTTCATCCCAAAGACATCGCAAGCTTAACGGAGGGTCCAGCCCATAATTTGCTCACAGTAGAACGAGTTTTTCTCTCTTGAGAAACTGACGTTCAAGAGAATTAAGATAGACTTGATTAAATCGATCATTTTAAAGTGGTTTTTGATTAGGTACAGTACACAGTGTAACGTTCAGAGGGTAGCCAAGTGTCCTCGGTAGAAAGGAAGTCCCTTTTCCTGTCTCCCCCACCCCCTCTATCCACAGCTGCCCTCCTTGGAGGTGACACAGGCATCAAGGGCTTGTGTCTCCTTCCAGATACTGAATGACTCTTTTTCAAAGCTAAACCTTAGAGAAAGTGTATTTATGCTTCTCTCAAAAAATGCTAAGCACAGGAAGCAAATTAGAAAACAGTATCACAAATTAATCGGGTAGCAGGTAGTCCGGAAGAGCTAAAATATGGCCATGAAACATCAGGGCAAAGAACTCTGGAGAGAAAGTGTGAACTTTTAGGAGACGGGACTAAACTATCAGCCCCATTCTGCAGCAGTTACTGAAGATCACCAGCCCCACCCCGCCCACGCCCTGAGCCCAGAGGGACCTCTATCCCCAAGAGCTGCTGAGCGCTGAGTTCACTTGGTGGCACTCCTAGGGCATCCTATGGTGTCAATGGATGCCCACTGCCCAGAATACTGGGCTGCAGGCTTCCCATGGTGCCCATGGACGCCCAGGGTCCAGAATTCTGGGCCTCTGTGCCCTCCTCATCTGCTGCTGTCCCAACAACCGGCTGGCCTTCTAGAAGCTCCTCTCCCTGTCTCCTGCGTCTGGACCTTTGGCTGCTGGTCGAGTCTTGTCTGGCCTGGATGCAGCCCCGGTTCTTCTGATCTGTGATGGACTGGTGTAGACGGGAAAAGCAAGGCTGACAGAAACCATAACTCCTCCGGCTTTCCAGCCTGTTACGACCCAGAATGAAAAGATAAAGAAAAACAAAAGCAAAGAAATGAGAGTAAATTTAATTTCTGTGGTCGAAGAAGCTCACTAGCTCTTATTGAATCCTAGCTTATTTATCTAGTGTTTCTTAACTTAATTTCCAGCCTGCTGCTCATGGGCCATGTCTTTGTTATGATTTTATCTGGTGCTAAGTGGGCAAAATAACTAAATAAAAACAACTCGAGGTTTTTCTTTGACAAAGAAGTCATGAAATCGAATATAAAAATTAAGCCTAGACTTTGGGGCAGAATGATGATTTGAGAAACCAGGGTTCAAATCACATGCAGCCAAAAGGCCAGAGTTGGCTGCAGACAGGCATGGTCCATGAGAGGCTGTTTGCACTGGCCAGAAACTGTGACAAAAGTATTAAATAATCTAAGATACTCCCGTGCAATGAAAGACTTCAGAGCTTCAAAAGGAATGGGATGAATCTGTGTGTGTTGTCATGGTTACGATCACTCAGATATTGATAAATCAGAAAAGTGCAATACACAAATACTTCCTTCTTGATGAAAAATTGTGTGTATCTATGTACACACACACATATATGTACACATATGTTTGAATGTGCGTGTATCCTAGTAGATGGATATGTAGCTATATGGTACACATGGGAATTTTCCAAAAAGAAATGCAGGAAGACAAGAAATGACTAGTAGACGTTATCTCTGGACAATGGAACTGAGTATGTGGATGGAAAAGAGACGTGGTTTACCATATACCTCCCGCATTGTTTGAATTTGCTTTTCACGTGCATGAAAATATTTTCATAATAACAAAGAACGCATGCACAAAAAAGAAAAAAAATGCCTGCATGCATGTTCAAATTTCAAAAGCTCTAAATTCTGCCCTGCATTCAAGAAAGAATTAAATATAACACACATCCAGAGACTGAATTACCGCAGCAACCGACGTCAAATATCCATAAATAAGTGATTCATGTCCAGCTGCATAGAACCGTGAAAGTGACCTTCGGGTATGACCTAGACGGGGCCTGAGAAGCATTTCCCCGGGCGAACTGATGGACAGCACCCTTCACCTTGAGAGCTGCTATTCTGCTACCTCAAGGTCAGGCCACAAGGGTAAACGTAACATTAACATTTAGAAGTGCTTTCCCCTGGGGGCGGAAGTGGGGAAGAGGGTTAACCCTTCCAAAACCCTTAACCTTTGGGGAAGGTGTCATCCTGCCAACATCCCAAGCTCTTTGCAGGTTTTCAAAAGATCCTCTCCAGGGCTGACCTTGAATAGAAAACAGTGGGCTGAACTATGCCCATGGAGACATTGTGAGCCGTTACTTAAAAATTAAGACTTCTCCCTTCTGCTGTGCGTGCATGCAAATGCTCTTTCATTATGTCGCTTAATCTGCATATAGTTACCACCTTATCACAGGAAAGCAGAGGAGAAGTAGCCTCCAGCAGTTCGGGTAGGTATTGGAGAACTGACTTTGCACACTTCCCCTCCACCACGCACACCCATATGCGCACACCCATATGCACCTGTGTGCTGCCTGGAATGGGCCAGGCAGAGCAGAGCCCGGCGATGCTCGGCGAAGAGCGAGCCGAGAGGAAGAGGTGGCTCGTGGACATGTAGGCGGAGCTTCCTGCGGGAACAGAGGACGCCTTTCCTTTTTAAAGGACGTGTGTTATTTACGTATGGGTCCTGGCCGCCCACGAGGTAGATAGACATTCTCCATATTGCTAATGTGCGCCGTGCCGATGGTCTCCCCTTCATGCGTCAACGCTTCTTGTGGAAGTAACGTTTTTCTGAAAAAAAAACAAAAACAAAAACCATCCTTCCAGACCATTTTTACTTTTGACTTCTTAATGCAGTTGTATGAGGAACGGAAACGTTTAGAATGAAACATCACCACTCAGGGAGCAACCGAGTCTGACCAGGGTCATCGACCGTGTCATCATGCCCGGTATTGATCACGTCTGCTCGTGTCGATCTGGCTTTTGCCCTCTCTACAGTAATTTTTGTAAACTCCCTGCTTTTTATTTCTTTTCAGGCTACCGGAAAGACCCAAGCTACCTGAGCCTCGTGCCTTCTTAAGTCAAATGGCTGAAATCACCATTTCTTCTGACTTTTTTTTCTGTTTTCTTTTGTCGAAGTCACTCTCCTGATAAACGCTCTCTGCAACGAAGCATTAATTTTTTAAAAATCCTGTGTTCGGATGGCTTGAGGTGGGTTTTTTATAGTCCCTGAGCAGTCAGCATTGGAAGCGGGTACCTAGCAGGAAACAATATACCAATATAAGTAGCCAAAGATTATCACCTCCATGGTTAATCCTGTTTCTCCCAATGCTCTGGATCTTTATTTTGCTACTCCTCAGATTACGTCTGCTGAAGAAAGCTCCCTAAGTTGTTAAGTGAATTGCCGAGCATACGATATTTTCTTTATATTAGGTGCGCGTGGAGGTGGTTACACAAGTCACTCCGTAACATTTATTAAGATTTGAGTGTGCCCACACCATTGGAGCATTTGAGTATGGGTGACCATGAGGGGAATCTGTTTACGTCCGAGGCGTGACGCCTCTACTCAGGAAATGTGTTATCTGGTTGGCGAGTTAAGTAATTACACGTTCGGAAAACACATCTCCTTCATTTCTCTTCAGATTGTTTTTCTTTCTTCTAA